TTTTTTTTTTTTTGAATGACTGCTTTTAGCATTTCAGTCGTCAGTGTTCGTTCCTCCCTCATCAATTCATTATAATTTTTATTCTTATTATCGTGAAAAACATCACTTACAACAACTTTTTTACTTGATCAACATGCCATTTTGAGGAGTCTGATTCTTTAGCAATATCAGCAGAAACAGATCAGGTGAGGAGGGAGATTTCCTCAGCAAAAACAGCAGTCAGACAAACAGCTTTCCTTCAGAATCTCTTTCAGAGAGAACAGTCACCAGCACAAATAACATGCACTACTCACTTCTGTTACCTCTGAGAAGCAAATGTTCTGCTGTGCAGCCAGCAAGAGGACAACGTGTTATTTTAGTTTTACCCTACAGTGGTTTTGCCTTCCAGTGCTCTCTTAGTAAGGAGGCTGCTTTCATAATTCAGATTTCAATTCCCAAAGACTTCAGAATAATAATTTCAGCACACATTCCTGACTCACATGCTGCAGTGCCAATTTCAGTATCCATTTCTGACTCATTAATTTCGGTGGCATTCCTGCTAGCACTGAATGGTGAGCTTACACTTAAAAACCTGGTTTCACAATTCAAAGGGCTCATTGTTTTGTTGTTCAGCCTTTTTTTGTGTATGTGTGCTGTTTTTTTCTCATTCATTTCCATCACTTCTGCCCTTCTTCTTGTCTGGGCATCCCTCTACCAGGAAATTAGGCCATGCTGGGATATGTGTGTGAGCACTGTACATGACTACCTGCACTCTCAGATTGTTAGCACAGAGCCACATAAGAATGCTGTCAATGCATTAGCTAATCCAGGGTAGCAATCACGGAAATGGGTAGACCAGCTACACCCCACTCCAACAAAAGGCAATCTACACTCCGTAATGTGTGTAGAAATCTATTTCCTTCCATCGTGATCCACAGAACAATGTACGATTTCTCAGTTGCTCACAATAGGAAACAAAAGTAGGGCAGTAAGGCAAAAATCAGCTCTCACAAATGTGATGACCCAAGGAACAAAAGGTCGATAAACATATTTTAGATATTCTTGAATATAGTGTAGTAAATCTTTTACCAGCCATTTTGCCCAGAGAGACTGTGGATGCTCTGTCCCTGGAGGTGTTCAAGGCCAGATTGGATGGGACCCTGGACAGCCTGGTTTGGTATTAAATGGGGAGGTTGGTGGCCTTGCCTGTGGCAGGGGGGTTGGATATTCATGATCCTTGAGGTCCCTTCCAACCCTGGCCAGTCTGTGATTCTGTGATTCTGTGATTCTGTGATGTCCATAGCATGCTTGTCAAAACCACAAAGGCCTTTGTGAGCCAAGTAGCTGAAGATAAAGGTTAGACACAGCACATGCTGTTGGATGTGCACATACATCGTGCTCCTTTATAAGAAGCTGAAAGTGAGACCTGAGGCAGCTAGGTGTCTTCACAAACTAACAACAGCCATGTCCAGAGCACACATTCCCATTTATCATAAGCACATGAGTCATCTTGGAGCCTTCTTTTCTCCAGGCTGAGCAGCCCCTGCTCTTTCAGCCTGTCCTCGCAGGGAGATGTTCCATCCCTGTGGTTATTTATGTGGCACTCCACTGGATGGACCACTCTGAAAATTCACATTTTGAATAAGCATCATTCAGCATGATATTACTTGATATCCTTAAAACATGGGTAACCTTCTGAGAATTGTAGGATGGGTGTGGATGCAGAAATGTCAAAATCATTTTAAGTAGGGTAGGGTTGAAAAATCCTTCATGGAACTGAGGATTGTCCCTCACCTAGGTTCTCCCCAGGCTGCACAGTGCAATGGTTCTTCCTCACATTCAAGAAAATTGTATTGTGCATACATTAAAATAGCAACGGTTCTCTGTGAAAAAGATGAAAGAAAATGTGTATTCACCTGAACAACATATCTGCAAGAAGGATCACTGATTTTTTAATAATGCCTTCATCAAGGAGTTACGTTTCCATAAACCAGGAGGAGGTAGGATGATACTGTTCATAATACATCTACAATGCACTCCAAGTATTGGTAAGATCAATTACATCTTTCAAAATGCATCAGGTGTTATAAGCAACATGATAAGCCTAATCCCACACTTCCTATTATCAAGGCTATTTTTATGTGAATACATTTTAATTTATACTTCATTTTGCCTGCACCTTTTTAGTTATTTCCAAATAGTTATTTCCAAGGAACAAACTGCAGAGGTTCTAAAAGAGCTAGAAAATTTACAGTTCTGTGGGCTTGATATAAGGACTTTATGTCTTATATATGTAGGTATAGCAAAATAGCAAATCCCATAAATTCTAAAACATTAAAAAGAGAATTCTGACAGTGTAACCCCTTCAGGGCATTTCTTTCCATGCTTTCTTGAGGATGATGAGGGAGTTCTATGTTTTTAATTTGCAAATTCACAAATGCAAAGACATGCTCAATGCAAGAAGAACATCATCATTGAATAATACCATTCACAAACACTAATGTTTCAAAATATGCAAACAAAATTTAACATCCTGCACACTATTCTAAATATATCAAATTTCTCCTCTTTTTCATGCTATGCATGTTATTAACCAGGACATGTAGGCTCTACAGTGACTACCAACATCATACTAAGCAAGCATACATGAATGTATTGGCAAAAAGGGCACGTACCATAGCATTCAAACACAATCTTGAAGAAAATCTAATGCACTAAATGGAAGGACAGCTTGACTTTCTGAAACGCATTCACAAGTAGCTGAAATTGCATGGTAGATAAAGCCTTCTGATCCTCGGTTAAACCTAATTGGTTTAGCTAATTAGAAAGGGAAGCTACAGTGAGTTTACAAAGATTGGGAATATAATACCATAATGAAGTTGTATTTTTAAGTCTCCAACTTTTGATTTTGGTCGCTACATTAGGTGAACGTGTTGATTTCTCGTGCCTTTTTGCCTGCCATTTGGTAGGGATATATACATTTGGCTTAAACTTCTTTCACATGCTTCTGTAAACCAAGAAAAATTAGTTGGAATGATCAGTTTACAAAAGACTAATAAATTCCTGTGTTTTTTTTTTTTCCCATCCCAGTGCCAATACTTCCCAGTGCCGTTGCCAGTTCCCATCCCAATGCTTCTCACTGCTGATTTGTCCCTCTGTAGTGTTTGTCTGCCTTTTACCCCATCATATATAAAACTGATTTTATCAAACAGATTTCCTCCGAGGCTGAATCATCATCTCCTACATCCCATGTTATATCTAGTGCCAGACTGTCCACAGTCATGTTCTACATTGGCCTGATTTTTGTTCTGCTCTGCAACAATAAAGATGCACTGTAAAATATTACAGTGGAATTTAAGTGTCCTTAAAAAAATGGGACTGTTGTACTTAAAAGCTTAATTATTTGAGTAGACAGGCGCCTTTTGCACCTATGAGGAGATAATCTTCATTAATTTCCTGTGTGACAATTAGCCAGAGATAAGCTTTTCAATGAACACCAAACAACTTGATAATGAATGTTTCTCCAACTCTTTCTTTGCCATTTTCAGGCAGATTTCCTGACTGTGCTTGTGTGTCCATCTGCTCTGAGGCATCAGCATGCTGAAGAGGCAATAAAGAAAAACTTTAAAGAAAACAGAAACAACCTAATGACAGTTCCACACATCTGTAAATTAGCGTTTTATCATTTTACAACCATAAAAGAAAGCAATGGATGTGCTCTCAGGCTCCTATCAGAGATCTCCTGTGACCTCAGCCAACCCCAGAAAAGCTGCAGAATGTGGTGCATTGCTCCCTGAGATCCAGCCCTTGCACCCACAGCCCTCTCTCTGGCTCCCAGGCTCCTTATCCACTGCTTTAGGAGAGAGGTGATCTCCTCCAAATTAGATGCAAATTGCAAACAAAGACCAAGCAAGGAATGGCCTGGATCAATGTAAGTGGAATCAAGGTCTGATTTGTTTTAATCTTCCCACACCTTCTGTGTTTTGACAGAGGCAAGAATTACAGACTTCTCAAGGCATGGCAGAGAGCTATTGGAATGTCCCAGATATATGCTGCTCCCAGGGCCTTCAGTGAGGTTCCTTAAATGTTTCTCAGCCTCTCCACAAACCACTACTGGCTGTAATATGATAATGATAAAATTCTCAAACCTCATGCTTCTTTCAGATACAGTTGGCAGGGACCGTCCATTGATGTCAATGCATTTATTACTCTCCTTATTACATGCTAAGTTTGTCGTTTAATAGCTGCAGTTTGTTAAAAAAAAAAAAAAAAAATCTGTCATTTTTTTCCTTAAGTTTTACTATTTCTGTTGTACCAGCTGTTTAGAGAGGTTAAGAATTC